GCTGCTCCTTGATCTTGTTAATGAGGACCAGGTTATCCAGCTGAAAGGGTTAACGGGTCATGCTCAACAGAAAACAGCCGCCTTGTGTGAATGTCATTCATGCCATCAAAACATATTGCAGGACAGAAAACACTGATCAGCACACGATTAGTTTTTACCTATGACAGAGGTGAGCTAAAGTAACGCCCACCAAACGCTTTAATCCAGCCCACTCATGGAGGAGGAGCATCAATTCTGGACATTCACTGTATTTTACAGCACAAAGCACTGCGTTTGTAATGTTGTTAAGAATGGATTGTGTCCTAAAAGTGGTTGTCTGAACTAGCAACTTCATCCAAGCTAGGGGGGGGCTGAAGTCATCATACTGTTGACTTTGAGTTATAACAGCAGTATTCCTTTGTAACAGCAGCAGACCGACTAAATGTAGTCGGTCTGCTGCTATCTAGTTTGTAATGCAAACGTTTTCAGGAAGCACTTGCGCTTCTTTGGTCCGGCCTGCTTGAGATCAATTTGGGCTGCGTGTGTACCCACGAACTCCAAGGAGTCTGAGGCACCCCTCTTATCTGCGAGAACAAACTGCGAGCGGTTCTAGGTGTAACAGTGATGGACTGGTGCTGAAAGGCTGAAAAGACATTCACACATGGAAACAAATGGCAGTGGAAGGTGGAAACATCACAGTAATTACATGCTGAGCGGACTTACCTGGCCTGGCATGGACGGAGGCGGCGGCCAGAAGTATGGGTTGTTAAACCGAGGCTCTGCCATCCTGAAGTGTGTGACATTTATTTTAGTCGCTTTTCAAAGATGCACATAATGAAGTGCTCCCTTACAGAGCACTGTTGCTAAAACTGCACGTAGAGTAAGTTAATGCTTACAAACAGGCAGGCTTAAACTGTGAAGCTGAAAAATCTGACACCTTAACCACACGCTGCATGTGGCTAGTTTCATATGTCATGCTTGAATTTTCTTTCAGGCCTTGTGCTGATCACATTCGCATCCACGTAGCTCTGCATCCACTTTGATGTCACTTTAAGGTGTCGAGAACCATTTCTGGTACTCAGTTAACGCCACGTATCAGCTGTTTAGACGGTTAAAGTTGCAGAGAATTTGCTGCATTTACTTCTCCGGACTGTTTGCACCACAGGCACAAATGTAGTAAGCATTAAACTAGTGGATTCTAAATCTGCTGCTTTTGATGGATAAATGCACTTTGTTCGTTTGTTGTGATTGTTTGAAAAAAACAAAACAAAACAAAACAAAACTGTGGGGACAATTGAATGACCCTCATGTTAAGTTAAGATGTGTAACAGCTGACCTTGAAACGGTTTCATATAGAAGACCTGAGCCTGATCATGACCGCAAGTGCTCTGCGATATTAAAAATTTTGGTACTGATCCGATACCAAGTAAATACAGGGCCGGTATTGCCAGTACAGATACCTATACTTTTACCCTATAAAAGAAGGCTTATGCAGGTGAATCATCATCAATGATCATCTAAACCACTTTGGGTCAATTTCTGTTGTTTAAATATACTACAAACTATAAATAGTTAATGCAAAAGTGTTCAGATATTTTTCATACTGGATGTATATGTTTTTCTTTAAAAAATTTCCACTATTTCACACAATGCAGTGGGCTACATGCTAAACTTAGAAGCTATAAATAAAGTATCGATCACGTGGCTCTAGTATCGATCCTATACCAATACCAGCGCTGGTGTCAATACTATCAATCGATCTGCCCACCTTTAAGACAGGCTTTGAAAGGCAGGGGGAAAGTGTGGAAGACAGTAGTTTAGAGCTAGGGCTCTTATTTTGTTGAAAAATAAAATGAAATAAATGCTTTAAGATAGCTGAAAAAGAAGTTTAATCAAAAAGGTAAATACGATTTTTTTAATGTAACCGTGTAAAAACTCGCTAGATGTCAGCTCACGCTTAGAAGTCGATGTGTGTAAATCAGGCCTACAGAGTAAAAGTGACACAAATCCACGCAGCTCTGCCATCTAAATGCCACCTACAATATGCCTTCACTTCTTAAAAAAAAAAAAAAAAAAAAAAAACACAGCATGATCCTGCGCCGTTTAGCTCGGGCTTGATGCCCCTCTGCTCCTTTTGTCTGAATTCCTGCAAATAAGTGGACGTCGCTTTTGTAATTTTTCCACAAAAACCGCCGTGAAAAAACAAGACAAAACAAAACTTGAAGTTCTTTGACTTTTTCGGACGTGTCGGCTGTCTGGGAGCAGCTCCGGACTCGCACCGACGGAGGATTGTCCGGATCGATCCTCCCCGGTGCGACTCGACACATTCTCAGACAGTTTTCTTAAAACATTTCCAGACAAAAGAGAAACAAAAATGGCAGCCTTATTTTTATAAGGCGGGACGCCATATTCTGCAGACCCCAAATTTTTTAGGAGCATGAACATGTTGTCGTGTGGCGGGTGTTTGGAATGAGAAGCGGCCGGAGACCAACACAAAGGTGTGTTTATCATGTCGGAGGCATGAATGATTGTTTACGGCGAATTGCAGGTTTGAATAGCCCGGCCTCCCCACCTCTTAAAAAAACTGACACTTCCTACAACAACCATGCCCTGCAAGGAGGAAAAAAAACACACACACATACACACACACACACAGCACGGAAACGGACAAGCTTGATTCATCAGTGCCGATTAAAAATAACCGTAGCGATTCGTTAAGGTCAAAATCGGAACCGGTGCACAGCGCCTCATCTCCCGACAGACTCTGTGCCATCTTAAGCAAAATTCACTTTTTTAAGGGCTGCTTTTTTCTACATTCTGTAACTTTTGGACGAATCAAAGCAGAGAAATTGCATTTTCGTGCTAATGCACGCACCGAGAGGCTACCGCTCATTAGAGAAATGCACAGCAACGGAAACATGTAAAGACATGCACAAATACCTTGTGTCCTGATTGCAGATATTGTCTTGCGAGTACAGCTATAATATAAAAGGTTGATGTTCTTTCTGCCTCCGGTCGGACCACCGCTTCCGGGTCGCTTTGTTCACTTCTGGGTGCTGCTGCTGCTGCAAGGCTCAGCACAGTGCAGTCGAGAGGGGAAATATTGTGCTAAATGTTGCTTTTGTATTTTCATACCACGACCCACTTTATTCGCGTTTAACAGCATCTCAGCAGAAGCTACGTCAACGCAAGCAGGGCCGATACATGCGTTAGTGAATTTTCAAAGTGCACACATTAGCGGTGCTGTCATCATGTGGTGAGACGATGAGCAGTTTTTCTCTGATGCCATTTCTTAAAAAAAGAAAAAAAAAAAACAGTCATATTTGCTGCCCTGTCAGAACTGTTATTATAGGCGGTCCACCCAAAGCACCTTAAGAGAAACACTAAAAAAGGAAAAGATTGTTAAAAAATACACAAAGAAAACAAAGTATATATTTAAAAATGCACTTCTTTGCTACTACAGTGAAATACAGTTAGCCAGATAATCCTATATCTTCTAGTTAACAATCATTTATTCTCATCCAGCTGTGAAATATTTACAAAATCAGAAAACAATCTAATGTAACAAAAGCAAGAAAATGTAACAATTTTCCTACTTTCTTCCACAGTAAAATTTCTAATATTACAGGTAACAGGGTATTAGTTAATAGCATGTTAACATGTATTTGTATTGTGCTTTATGGCATTTCATTTTATCATTTACTTTATTCCAATTTTTGTACAGGGCTTTGTTACCACTTGTCTGTGAAAGGCACATTGTAAATAAACAGTACTTACTTACTCTTGTAGTAAATAAGTAAGTAAGGTACCAGTCTGGTTTCCGAACCCATCATAGCATGGAAATGTTTCTTACTAAAGTCATCAATGACCTAAAAACCAACAGTGATTCACCGAGTGTTTCAGTCTTAGACCTCTCTGCTTCCTTCAACAGTGTTGATGGTAACATTTTAATTCAAAGCCTTTATGATTCAGTTGGTTTATCAGGTCAGATTCTCATCAAACCCTAAGTGTAGAAGTTTTAATGTTTTACTTGGTAGTTTGAAATCTGCAGAAACAAAAATTCAATTAGGGGTTCCTCAAGGATTTGTCCTCGGTCCCTTAGTATTTAACCTTTACACTACCCTGCTTGTTGTTATCATAATGAAGATGAAACACAGTTTTTTATCTGTCATTTTCATCTGATGAGCTAATCTCTATTTAAAATTTAAGCTGCACTGATGACAGTAACTGCTGATTTTGTCGAACTGAACAGAGACAAGATGAAAGTATTTCGTGTTGTTCCAAAATGTTAGATAAAGAAAATGTGTTCATATTTATCACACATGAAAGAAAGTCAGGACCCTTGGCATTATTTTGTTCAGTGATGTCAGTTTTGATAATTATATTAATGAGGTCACCAGAGCTCCTTTCCACAACATAAAAATATATCAGAAGCTTGAAAATTCCTATTGCAAATTGAGAAATGTGCAAAAGCGTTTATATCGAGCAGGTTAGACTACTGTAATGCTCTACTTGCTGGATTATCCAAATTATCAGTAGGTGGACTTCATCTTGGTCTAAGGAGCTGGTTTTATTTGAAGTCTAAGGAGCTTGGAAAGAAAAGCGTCTGGACTTCTTTAAGTTGCTTGAAGACGTTTCACCTCTCATCCGAGAAGCTTCTTCAGTTCTAGGGTAAAATGGTGGAGAGTCCCAGATTTAAACCCCGTGGGGGTATCCCCCCAAGGAGGGACAAAGGACCCCCTGATGATCCTCTACCTAATCACATGAGCCAAGGTGTGAAAATGGGTGTGGGTCACAATCAGCCAGGGTTTCAGGTGAGCTCATTGTGAAACCTAGCCCCACCCTATCATGTATTTCCTGGGGTCAGATGGCCCAGGGTGTGAGTGGGCTTTAAGGCATCTGGGAAAGGATCTCAAAACTGGACTATAGATGGCAGACAGTTGGTGTCGTAAACCACCGCCTCAAAGATGGTTGCTCACAGTGGACATAAATGGCTTCTTTCACTTTTTCAAACCATCTGTCCTCTCTGTCCAAAATGTGAACATTGGCATCCTTGAAAGATTGACCGAGAACTGATTGAGAACCTTCACAGACGTGGACTTCATCTTCTTCAGAATGCAGCATACGTGGAAGTTTGAAAATATTACCACAATATTTAAGTCACTGGATTGAAGTTTGAACTGGTTTCCAGTTCAACAGAGAACTGCCTTTTAAAGTCCTTCTATTAGTTAGTGAAGCTCTCAGTGGTTTGGCCCCCAGTTCATTTCTGGTGTACTCTGTGTCTGTAACCCTATTATAACTCTCAAGTCATCAGATGCAGCTCTTTTAACTTGTACCCTGGAATTTTCATGGTCATTTTTTGAATCCACTTAACACTTAACACTGACCTATGAATCACTTAAGCCTTAAATAGGCCTGTAACTCAAGGGATGAGTCAGTGTTGTGTCTACACATAACAGGCATATTACATAGAACCGATCTGAAATGATGTCTTCAGGAACTTTGTTACTAGCAGCCAGCTGCAAGAAAACAAACACAAAAGGAATTTTCACAGATAAAGTGTTTTTGAATAGGAAAAGGTCCTGATGCAGGATCTGACAGAGGCATCTGGCCCTTCAGGTATTTCATATACTTACTGTTTACTGAAGCCTCTTCAGAAATAGTCAGTGAAAGGTTGCCAATAAGCCATTTTTAAGAAAGATGAACAAGGAGAAAAGCCTGATTTATGATAAATTACACAAGAACTATACTGACAATCGTCCCCAACAGGTCTAATGGAGCGATGAATCCAAACTTGAAACTTCAGCTTAAAATTGTTTTCAATATGTCTGGGAGTCAGGAGTGAGGTACAAATGTTTGTCACTCCTTTATAGCCATCTGTAAAACACAGTAGAGGCACCTTCATGGTTTGGAGCTGCATTTCACCCAGCCCAAAGTGACGGAAATATGAACACAGAAAAGTAACATAAAATTTTGATCCATTGTGGAATATGATTTAAAACGCATGTGATTGGCAACAACTTATTTTTTCCACATGCCAATGATCCCAAACACACTGCCAACGCAGTAAAAGGATATGTCGAAATCTTAAATGAATTCCAAGAATGCTGGTGTTCAAGTTTCATCATGACCTTCAGTACATGTAATGTCAGGGATGTTGTCCAAAGTCAGCAAGTCGAGTTAGGCTGCTTTTCACAGCAATACAGCTTCTTGGTAGATTTTGAATCCTCTAATCTGTATCAGCATTTAACTGATCACATTTTTCCATAAAGTCGGAATTTGATGTATTACTGTGCATTGTTCTGGCTAAAACTTTAAGGCAGGCATCCAGGCCACCCTTGTCCATACCAGTACTGCAGAAATTCTGTAGTGTTACAATGTTATTGTGCAGGAGTCTGCATGTAAGGAGTTAGTGTTTACATGATGTCAGTTTCCTGTTTCTTGCACCACTTCTCTGGAGATTCCAAAGAACTGAAACCGTGACACACAATTGCACACTCACAAACAAAGCCTTCCTTAAATGTTTTATTTGAGTCAGCTTTAAAGGAAACCTGCATATCAGTTGAAGTGAGAATTCTTCCTGCTGCTGTTCACTTTGAGCGAGAACTACATTGCTGTTTCAAACTGAGTGAAGGAATTCCAGTGAAACTTGGTTATTTAATTTCCACACTGCCTGCTCACACAACATGGACCTTATCTTGGTAAGTTTATATTTTTTTATTGATTATCTTTTTATTGATTTTATTGATTTATGCTGCTTAAAAAATTTATTAGACCAACTGTCATGAAAACAGATCTGTCAAAATTGTAAATCATCCAGCGCTGTTATAAACTGTCCTCTTTTCTGCGGGGCCTGATTGGGATTTATTTCACTTGTTTACAACACCTTTCTCTGTCTTCTTTATTATGATCTGATTTTTCTATCGAACCTGTGAGCCAGAAAAAAAATGTGTGAAGGAGCTCTGTAAGGAGACCAGCTTTAGAAAGAGGTTTCTGAAATACTTTCCTGAATGTGACACAGTCTATGCTCCCAACCCTCTGATGGTCGTATTTAGGAAAGTATGGGGAGGGAAACAAACAAACTTCATCTTATGTGTTCTGTCTGGACGACGACTTAAATGGCTAATACTTTTAGCTTCACTACAGGTTTTTTCAGCCCTGATTTGTGTGGTATTTCGATGCATTTTTATATATTTCTATGATACTCTTGCTGTCTCTTTGTGGCTGTTTTAATGAAAAATGTCAGTCCTGTTTCCTCAACAGTTTACCTCAGATCTTCAAACCTCCTTTGTTTCAGGTCTTCCCACTGATACTTGCACTGATTTCCTGTGGACAGAGTCACACTGAGGGGACTGAACAAACTAATGGTTCATGTTACAATTTGTGTCCAGCTGGTAAGATATAATGAGGAACATTGTTGTCAATTATTGGTATAAAGTCAGTGCGAAAGTATCACATTAACTTTCCGCCTTTTCTCTCTTTTTCAGGATATCATAAAGTTGGTAACTGTGATGATCAAGTTAAAAAGTACAAATGCAAGAAATGTGAGGATGGCTTCTACACAGACATAGAAAACTACATAGAGAAATGTCTTCGGTGTGACTTATGTAATCGTAAGTATCCTGCCCAGTTTCAGTTTAGTGTCACGCATGTTTTCTGCTTGTGTGTTAAGGTCGATTAAAGTTAAATTGGACTAAAAAACAGACTGCTATCATCTTGTCATTTAGATATATTTAGATATATTTCAGCATAAACCTCTTTTTGTGGTGATCTTGTTTTGACAATCTTATATTTGTTTCCGACCAATGTGATGAAGTTGAAACACTTTGACAACTTAAGTCTGTCTAGGATGGGAAACCTTTCAACATTGTGTGTCACTCTTACCCTTCAGAATGTCAGTTTGAGCTTGTGTGCACTAAGATTAGAGACTTCGCAGTGCAAAGGCAACGTCTGATGTTACGTGCACTCCAATTTTAACTAACTATTAATTGTCATTGCTTTTGGTTAACGTGACTGTTAGTGTTGGTGAGGTCACCAAATTAGTTAAAACAATCTATTTGGTGGCTGGACTTTGGGGATTTGCCTTAAGTCCTCCAAGCCCCTGAATGTGCGCTTGCATGTAGACCTGATATCAGGTATCAGGTCTGTTGTTACAAGCTATTCAGCCCCTGTACGGCTGTAGTGAGAGGTTAGGTCACATTGCCTGTGATCAGTTAGACTTATTCTGAGCTGTTGTTTAACTCCACCAGAGCTCCCCTTTGTCGCCGGTTCTGTTCATAACTTATATTAGCAGAATTTATAGGTGTAGCCATGAGTTCAGAGTCGGTATGCTTTGATTTGTCTGTCTTTGCTTTTTACGATATGGTCCTGCTGATTTCATTGAGTGACTGGGACATTTAGCAGCTGACTAAGAAGCCGCTGGGCTGACAACTGGTATCTCCAATTCTCAGACCTTTGTTTGGTAGTGATATGCTGCACCAAGTAGAGGAATTCATTCAAGTATCGACAATCCAAGAGGAGTTTCATAGTAGAAATTCTGCTTCTACAGATCTGGGCTTGGGCTACAATGGGTACTAGGTTCCTCCTAAATCAAGTGTTTCATGCATCTCTAATTAAGAGGAGATTGCAGGGCAGAAATGCTGGCAATACTATATCTTTTGGATGGCTTGGAATTCTTCTAAAATAGCTAAAGGAGGTTGCTGGAAAGAGGAAGTTCTGGGGCATCACTGCTTAGACTGCTGCCTCCAGGATAAGCAGTAACAAATAGATGATGGCTGGAAGTACGGCATAGATGGACATACTGTGCTTTGCTTTTTCCTCAGATGATGAGATTGTACTAAGGCCCTGCTCCTTTAATAGCAACATAGTGTGTGCCTGTAAACATGGATACTACAATTTAGGGTCTGACCATCTGAGGGAATGCATGAAATGTTCCTGTAGTACATGTCCAAGTAAGTACACTAAAAGAATGTTAAAGCATTTGATTGGTATTCACGGCAGCCACATTTTTTCATTATCAAGCATAATAACAACTTAAATAAATTCGTTCAGTCACCTCTACCTTTATTCCTTTCAGAGAACGATGACTACAAAAGGAAGTGTCTGAAGCAGACCATTGGGACAAACAAAACATATCAATTGTGATTAGATTTTGTTTGTGACTGACTGACAAGAGCACAGGACTACAAATCAATCAGAAAATAATATAGAATGCATATATTTACTGCAGTGATAGCTTACAGTGTATATCAGCACCATCATCAAATCTAAACACAGTGTCTGGCTTATAAAATGTGCTCATGTATGTGTAAACCACATTGTTATTACTGAGTTTCTGCAAAATTGTACAACTGCATGTGTCATAATCACTGTCTTTAGGGTTTGTTTTGATTTTTACTCTGTTTTGGATTTTCAGTTATTTTTAGTATTTTGAGTCTCCAGATTTGGTTAAATTGTCAGGATCCCTGGGTTTTCCTTTGTCTAGTTTTCCCCTTTGACTCGTTATCTTGTAAATAGTTATTGTCTGCGTCATCCACTGTTCATTATCACACCCTCCCTCACAGACGTGTGCTCCTTGCTGGGAGTTTCCAAATTCCCTAGAAGTGTGTTTTCCAGTAGTTTGTTTTGAACTTGTTTTAACTGCCAGCAATAGAGATTCTTCTTTTCTTTTCCATTTCTCTAGTCCTGGATTTGGGTCTACAACCTGCCTGTTACACAGCACTACATTATATAACTTTCTTCCTTTCTTTTTTATTTTTTAATGGTTTGTTTCTGCCACTGGAAATGACCCTTTTTATCATAAGTCAAAATTTGGGGTTTTTATCTGAAAGCTCTGACTTAAAAACCTCAAAATTTCGAGTTATTTCCATTTTTGAGTTACTGTCTCAGAAATTTGATTTATGAAGTTTAGATTTTGAGATAATCTGAAATTCGCTGTTCCAATGATTTCCACACTTCATCAGTGCCCTCGCTCATCCACTAATCATTTAGTGGTAATTTGGTATCTTACTTGTCTCTGGTTTTCTTTGTTTAGGAATCACAATCTAGATTAAAATGTGCATAAATATCCCTGCCTTTGTTCTTTACCATCTTGTACTGTTTAGTCTTCTTTATGTTTTGCTCCTGTCCTTGTTTTGGATTACCAATTAACAATAACCATTTTTGGAGTTTTACTCACTGTTTAGATTACAGCTAGATTACAACACTCGTTCTTTGTTTATTGAAACTCAGTCTCTGTCTTGTGTTTTGAGTCTTTATGGATCTATAAGCGGTATGTGCTAAGATGATCTCATTTTGTTTCCTGTTTCTTGCATTGCTTTTCTGAAGACAAAACAGAATTGAAAGTCCAGAGACTGAAAACATGCGATAACACACTCATACAAATAAACCTGTCCTTAAACCACAAGTTTGAGTCAGGTTCAAAAGAAAACCATTCATCAGCTTAAATAAGAGTGTCTCATCTCATGCTGGTGATTACAAGACTGTTTTCAACTGAGTGAATCTGAATAAAAATTGGTAAGTAATCCTGTTTGTAGGATTAATTGGATCATCTCCATGTACAATTTCAAGGGTGCTTTGAGTAGAGTTTTGTCATTTAGTGTTGTGTGAAGCTCATGTTTACATAAAGGTATACAAAGATTATGTCTTAATGACTGCAAGATAAGGTTTGTTACAAGATTTATTAATTTTTTTTACAGTTGCTTAAAAGTTATCTTTTATTATGCATATTCTTCAAGGACTGTAAATCATATTTGTTGGTATCATTATTATACTATCATTATTATTATATTATTATCATTATTGCTAGCATACATCCTCGCTGTTGTAGTTTTAGTGTTGATAATCAAACTTCATATTAGTTGCTGAAAATGTTAATGATGCAGTATTGTGTATAACAGATATGCAGGGTAGAAGAAGGCCTCCTGATTACTGGGATTCCCTGTTGTGGTCTTGCTGCTCTAGGAGCAAATATTTCCTGTGAAAAAGAGTTTCCACAGGACAGTGGAGCAACCTTTCCCAGCAATAACTTGAAGTAATGGTTTTCTGTGGGGTTTTTCTTTATCAGTCTATCACATCGTGGGAATGTTTCAGTTCAACTCATTGAGATTCATGGGGATTTGTTCAGAGAGATTTCTCCACATTTGAGTCTTGAACACTTTGGTATACAGAAGACTTCATGGTCGCCTTAGTACAAGGTGTCCAGGTCCTGTGGTTGTAAAACAAGCCCAGATTATCACTCCTCCACCACTGTGCTGCCTGTTGGTATGAGACATTTGTATTGTTTAGGGCTGCCACAAATGATTATTTTAATAGTCGACTAGACACCGATTATTTTTCTGATTAGTGGACCAATCGAAAACGTCGGAGCACTTTTGCAAACATGTCATGTCTTGATAAACCAAGCAGATATTTGAAGTTTACACAGCTACATTCTCGCCTGAAAATATGTTAAACGTTTATTTTGTGACCCAGAAAGAGTAATTGGAGTAATATTAAAACTAAGTAGCTGCCGCCATTGTTGAAAACTGGAATAGAGCTTGAAAATGTGACAAAACCGCAAAGGATTGTAGGCACGAGTTGCAAGTGGTACTAGCGCACGCAGGCTTTCACAAGAAAACAGTCACATAGCGATAAAAAGAAACACAAAGAATGGCAAGAAGCTGTTATATTATTAACCGCAATAGCTGGTCGCATGACAGCAACGGGAAGCCGACCGGTAAAGACAGATGTTTTTATCGGATTCCGTCGTGGAAGAAAAATTGTTCGAACCATGTTTCTGAAGTAACAACGAGGTGACGGATGGCCTGGATTGCAGCCATTCGAAGAGCAAATATAACATTCCAGAACACTCCAGCTCACTTGTTAGTCTGCTCCAAGCATTTCCACAAAGGTGAGCCTTTTGTTGTTGTTATTACGTAATTTATCATAACATAATTATTGATGTAGGTTACAAATAAGTCTTATATTGATTTGAATTGAATTTGCTGCGCTATGCTGCTTTGTTCGCGGTGGCTTTGTGGGCTAATGTTTGTTGTTTTATAGGAAAACCAGCCTACAAAATGCTGGAATGCGATCCAGACTGGGCACCCTCTATCAACCTGGGTCATACCGAGTTTAAAGCTGCTACCACAGCGAGATTTGATCGGTTAAGAGGGAGAGCGATATCAAAACAGCCACGAAAAGTCCCGCATATATGTGCCCAAGTGTTGTAGCAATCAAGTGATGAATAACTGCTTTCCAGTATGTTTTGAAATGTGGTTTTTTTTTTTTTGCATTGTTGATTTGTTTTTCACCAAAGCAGCTAATAAAGCACAATGGAATACAATTTTGCCTCTTTCTTGTAAGATTTTATAATAGAATGAAGCATGCCAGTTATAAATAAAGGGAAATAAATTCAAAGAATTATGAAACACTTATTTTATTTCTATTGGATCTGAAAATGTTGTGTAATACTACAACCTGAAACGACAAATAGATTGCGTTGGTCTGTACAGGAGATAAAGAAAAAAAATGTAACAACAGCTGTGAAATGGGATAGTCCAAATCATCAAAGTAAACTGGACCTGTGCTTGTTGTAGGCATCTGAAGTTACTAAACATTTTGTGAGTGTATGCACTCACAGTTAGGACCATATAATAATAAATATGCGCGTGAAGAAAGTTGGGCAGCAGGCTAACGTCTTTAGTCCACTCCGTATGCTCGTATGGGTCTAACCCTTTCACTCCTTTGATTTTTACCTCGCTTTTGGCCTTTTTGTCAAGTCTGTCTTTGTACGGACCTGTCGTGTTCTCCTTCGTTTTGTACATAACTGTTCTTGGGACAAATAAAATGCAAGTAGGGATTAAAACCACAGAATTAATGATTACCAGTGCTGGAAATGCTAGTGCTTGATGCAGTGTTTTGATTTTGCTGCCACTGGTACCCACAATGCAATGCGCGAAAGTCACGTGGTCTGTCGGCTGGGCCGCGCTATGAATTCTGGGATAGGTTGGGCCACGAAGGACCCATCCTTCAAATTTGGGGAAATGAAGGACGAATTTTTTGGACACATTTGGGCGAGTATTCGAATTTGCGCAGGCTTCGCCGCGTCGATGTAATGTAATTGGCCTACAAATGCAGCCTCTGAAGGATCTTACAAAGCTTCAAACGACGTCGACTATTAAATTAGTCTTCAACGATTTTAATAGTCAATGTAATTGTGACTAGTCCACTAATTGTGGCAGCCCTAGTATTGATATGCTGCAGAAGCATGGCCTTCAGGTTGTTTGGATATGATATTATAACCCTGCCCACAATGATGAACTGCAATTATTGATTCTTTCCTCCAGACCTGCAAAATGCCAAAACATCTGCTTTTACAGAGGAACTCTAATGATCTGTTAATCAAGTGTCTTTAATTATCACTCTATAAATTTACAGGTAATTATTTAAATTGTATTTGTTTTTACTTATACATGTTTAGTTTACAATAATGAAAAATAAATACAAAATCAAAATAGCATTTTCTTAAAGTTTAGTAGTTTGAAATCCCATTGTTAGAAATTGGATCATATTAAATTTTGCAATTTTTTATGTAAAGCATGCAGTTGCATGGGTATGAAAATATAAATTAAAAATTGTCAGACTTTCAGCACTAAAACACACAAGACCAAGTGAATAGTCACCTTTATATGCATTTGATTGTTGAAGATTGTATAATGTAACAGAGAAAAAATATCGAACATGTTGAGATTTTTTTTTAACAGACTGAAAAGAGCAGAGAACTGCAATTGAAGACAGCAATCATATTTGTACTTACTGCATTGATGGCTTACAGTATTGTATATTAATGTTAAGCACACGTCATTAATATTGCTGATTGATGATTACTTGACCACAATGTAATCAAAATGAATTGGATCGATGTTATTGTTATTGCTGTCTATCAAGTGTGACTATACGTTTTTTGTGTGTTTTATGATTTTACAGGTAATATCTTTGGTGAGCGAAACATTTGCACTGACTACAAAAACACTGTTTGACTATTAACTGCTTTTAAATTTTGATCTAAAATATGTTTGTGGTTGAGTTGAGCATGCCCTGATTTCAGCAATGGACATGTTGGCTTTTTGCTAGAATGAAGGAAACACGTTTGCAAATTTAACATCATTTCCCCACATATGTCTTGTATCTCTTGTGCACTCACTCTTCCTGTGGTTAGACTGAGGATGTAAGTACCTGTGGTGAATAACACGTTGATAGATACCAGAAGTACTCATAACAGGCAGGTTAAGGTTGCTTTACTAACTAATTAATATAGTAATGTCAGAGTGTCTTTGTGTCTACAGCAGGGAGCCAAATGGCTTTTCTTGCACATGTTTTGGTGACTGGTGTAATTATGGCTTCTGCTTTTATGTTGAAAAGTCATATTTTATTTCTGTGCCTGATATGTTGTTCTTTCTCAAACTGCAACACAACTGGCCTTGAAAAAAGAGGTTATGCTGTATTGTGTAATTTACACAGAAATGTAGTCAGAAACATTGAAATGACTAAGCAAATTCAAATTCAAATTTTATTTGTCACACACACACAACCATACACAGTATGACATGGGGGTGAAATGCTTGTAGCTGTACAATGCCCGACCATTAAATGACAGAAGAAAAGTTTTACAATATTTACAATTTACTACAAAAATTTACAAATTAACTTAGGAATTTACAGTAAAGAATGTGCAAATAGCAGAAGAGATTATAAAGATAAGGATTATAAATTATAGGAATTATAGGATTATAGGAAATGTGTGGTGGTGCGTGTGGTGACGTGTGTGAGAGTCCAGTCTTATAGTGACGTGTTTGGGAGAGTCCAGTCCTACACCTGGTTCAGGCCCCGAATAGCCTGGGGGAAGAAGCTCCTCCTCATTCTCTCTGTTTTGGCCTTAAGGGAGCGGAAGCGCTTCCCAGACCTCAACAGTGAGAAGAGTCCATTGTTGGGATGGGAGAGGTCCATCATAATCTTCCTAGCTTTGGACTTGCACCGCTTGGTGTAGATGGACAGCAGGTCAGGGAGCTCTGATTGAATGATGCGTTCTGCCGAGCGCACCACCCTTTGCAGATCTCGTCTGTCCTGCTTGGTGCTGTTCCCAAACCAGGTGCAGATGTTTGCCGTCAGGACGCTCTCGATGGTGCAGGAGTAGAAGTTCTTGAGCACCTTCAGTGGCAGATGGAAGTCTCTAAGTCTTCTGAGGAAGAAGAGACGCTGACGGGCTTTCTTAACCAGGGTGTTGATGTGACAGGACCATGACAGGTCCTGAGTGATGTGGACACCCAGGTATCGGAAACTGTCCACTCTCTCCACTGGCGTGCCACTGATGATGAGGGGTTTGTAATTCCTCGCCTGCTTTGTAGTGAAGTCCACGATCAGCTCCTTAGTCTTGCTGATGTTTAGGAGGAGGTTATTCTCCTGGCACCAGGTCTCCAGGTTCCTAATCTCCTCCAGGTAGGCCGTCTCGATGTTGTCGGAGATCAGGCCCACAACAGCAGTGTCGTCAGCAAACTTGACAATGGAGGTGGTGTCGGATGTGGCTACACAGTCATAAGTGTACAGTGAGTACAGCAGGGGGCTTAAAACACAGCCCTGAGGCACTCCAGTGCTGAGTGAGATGGAGGGGGAGACTTGTTTTCCCACCCTCACTGATTGGGGTCTGTCTGTGAGGAAGTTGAGGATCCACTGACACAGTGATGAGCTGAGTCCTAGATCCGTCAACTTGGTGAAAAGCTTAGAGGGAATTATTGTGTTGAATGCTGAACTGTAGTCCACGAACAGCATCCTAACATAATTCCCTCTGCCAGTGTCCAGGTGACTCAGGGATGTGTGGAGCAGGTGAGATATGGCATCGTCTGTGGAACGATTAGTCCGGTAAGCAAACTGAAGTGAGTCGATGGTGGCAGGAAGTGAAGAAGTGATGTGATCTCTCATCAGTCTTTCAAAACACTTCATCACAATTGAAGTCAGTGCTACTGGACGGTAGTCATTGTGGCAAGCGGGCTGTTGTTTCTTTGGAACAGGGACAATAATGGACTGTTTGAAGCACGTGGGAACCACAGCTTGGGCCAGGGAGAGGTTGAAGATCTCCGTGAACACCGGTGCTAGTTGATCAGCGCAGGCTCTAAGGACCCGGCCAGGGATTGCATCTGGTCCTGCTGCCTTCCTGGTGTTCACCCTCCTGAAGGTGTTCCTCACGGCATGCTCTGTGATGACGAATGCATTTTCTTCACTGGTGCACTCCGAGCGCGCGCAGCCGTTTGTTGTTTTAATTGCTGCGGCGTCGAAGCGAGCATAAAACGTGTTCAGCTCATCAGCCAGTGAAGCATCTGCATTCATCATTGAAGAAGCTGGTCGTTTATAGTCCGTTATAGTCCGCAGTCCTTTCCACAGGCTCCTAGAGTCGCACTGTCGTAGCTGTGACT